TCTCTGCAGAGAGGGCTTTGCCCACTGTGCTTTGTGTCTTAATAACCTGCTTCTGCTGCACTGCTAGGCAAGGGTGAAATTAAAAGGCTGGATATGACACAAATTTGAAGGGAAAAAGTGAAACTGTAAATCTGAGGGTTGTGAAAGTATTATAATTTTCTCTGTACAGTTCTGAGATCTTAGTTTAAGTGGCGGTGAAATAATGGGAACGCAGAAATAGCTGAACCTGTAAAGCCTGTTTCAGCGGGTGGATGAGCAGAGACTTGCTTTATGATCGCTGAGAAGCTGGCTGGTGGTTTGGACGTACAGTATTGTGGTATGAAGTCAGCACCGACCCACTGGAGATCAAAGTGATCTTCTGCATTTATCAGTAGTGCAGAGCACGGGACTTGTGTTCTGTATTACTAACTGCTAACTTATCTGAGTGACGGTTTTATGTTGCCAGGTATGTTGTTGGTGCCGTTCGGGTGATGTGTCTCGCTCCAGGGAAAGAGAGCAGTGTCTTACCTGGGATTTGATCCCACGGTCTTCAAGCGAGTCCAAAGCCCACAGCATTCCTCCACAGTTCCAGCCCCCTGTGCTCACAGTCAGCACTGCAGATGGCTTGTTCCTTCTGCCGGTACGCGTTGAGGCTCAGTGCTTGGGTCAGGAACAGCCTCCAGCAAACACAGTTCCATCTCCTACCAGCTGTCACTGTCATGTGACTCCTGGCCATTGGCTACCCAGCAGGTTTTGAATCATAAGATTCAAAGAACATAGGAACATAAAAAAAGAAAGGCAAGAAGCTTGAGGGGGCTGTTTGACTCTTCTGCCTCTTTGCTCAGCAGTGGGGGACCAATTTGACAAGTCGGCATCAGTTTGTTCCAGATCCCCCACACTTTGTTTCCACTCGATTTCCTCTTGTGTGCCATGGTTCGTGTTTCACTGTGGATCCCGAAGAAGTCCACTGGGTTGGCTTGATCAATTCTCAACCTCTGAGAATTTGGACCACTTCCAAAGTCAAGATCAGGAAGACTCTTGTACCTCTCCTCTGTGATGGCTGACATGGCAGCCTGGTTCTTTCTAATTGTGGCCTGCTCATATTTGCTGTGCTTAGGAAATTGGCACTTACTGTACAATAAGGTTATTGTCCAGGACAGTGCAAATCCTTTCTTGTGCAGTTTTTAAAACCGTGATAGTTACCTGTATAATCGACGTGCAGACAGTGCATTCAGGGAATAATCCCGGGGGAAGGCGTCTGTTTTTTTTCCTTAAAAGCCTGTTTATAATTTGCTTGTGTTTATTGTAAATACATGAGCTTCCCGTGAATCTGTGAAGAGCCTTGTACTGAGTCATTTTTCAGCAGCTTGTCCGTTGATGTGGTTGTGAAACCGATGCGGTTGTAGATTCCGGACAGTCCAGTCCCTGGAGTTTGCAGGCAGCTGTAACTGCTTTGACGGCATGGCGTTGAGACAGGACGCTCTCCAAGAAGCAGGCTTCTCTCTCTGCTGTCCTGCCTGCCCTGTTTTTCCGATTGCCCTAACCCCTTCCCAGTGCTGAGTCGTGCTAGGCGTGTTCAGACGCACCCCGGGCTGCAAGAGGAGGCTATTTTCTGCTCCGTCAGTCTCCCAGGAGCACAGGGGTGTGTGTGCGCAATTGCTAGGGCAGCCATTCCTCTCCAGGCCAGCCCCATGCATGGGATTTGGTGACAGCGCAGGAAGGAATAGGCTGCCATGTGTCTCAATGAGCCGTCACTAATAGAGAGACAATGATTTCCTGAAAACCAGAAGGGGTCACAAGGGCAGTGGAAACGTGCTGCTGCCTTTCCCCCAGAACACGAAATGGTCTTTGTTTCGCTGCAGTCTTGTTCAAGCTCGCTTGTGCACCTCCTGTGCCGCGTTTTGTAGTGTTCCGGTCCCCTGTTTCGGGAGCGCCGTGTGAGCAGTCCGCTGCTACCTGCTCTGGGGCTCCTGAGTGTGCCACCTGGCCTCCACACGGGCCGTGTTTTCAATTGGCAGCATTGCAGATTGGGGATTGCTGAAGTGCTTGTGAGGCGCGAGAGGATTGGGTTTCTGTTCTTCCTGTCTCTGGGCCAGTAAGTGATGTAAGTGATGGGGGTGGGGGATGTGTAAATCTGTGCAGGGCTCTCCTTGGGCAGGTGCCGCTTGCCATGCGGCTGTGGAAAGTGGTGGGAATATCACTGGATTTGCTGGGACAGGTGTCTGGGCTCCCCCGCACCCCCAGATGGCTCTTTGCAGGGCTGCCAGGGCAGGGATACAAACACCAAGCTGATCCAGATAGGTTGAATGGGAAAACAGGGTCCCATTGGAGCCTGGTCATGGGGTACAGTCAGCCCTGTCAACAAACAGATGCCCCTTCTCACCATATTGGGCACATTTATAACCCCACCAATTGTGTGGAGAGTTACGTATGGAAATAAGTACCTCTTACGTAAATGCACCTGTGTATGTTGTGAATTATATTTTACAAATAGCACGTTTTCCCCTCCATTAGTGTGATGCTAATGGCACTTTAAAGGTGAAGAGTAACGAAAGATACATGTGGGAAGCCCTGTGGCACCGATATGAATCATGCAGAATCAGCAGAAGAGCAGACGCCTCTCTTCCCAGAAACCGCGGATGAACTGAAGGAACCCACTCCTGACAGGAACATTTTTAATTTTCTGTTTGATTTATTTAACCCCTCCCCACGCTCCATAGGAACAACTTAGACGGGTTAATTCAAATGAGACTCCAGAGCCGGAAATAATATTGAGCTAGATTAAATAAGTCCCAGCAGTTAGAGAGCTCTCAGTGATTTTGCGCCTGTACTATAGCAGCTTAGTGGCAGTAAGATTGTTTGGCAATTCGTTCTGTAGTGAGAATGTCACTCATGCTTCTCGTGGATACTTACTGCCTGCTCGTTTGAGTTTGTTAATCAGCTTTAACGGCACACAGGCCTCCTTGTTTTCTGTGCTGCTTTTGTTTTTACACTTTAATGCTTCTTTAAAGCATCCTGTCTGAAACTGCAGAGGCGGATAACTGTAATTATCATAACTGCATAACACAGTAAACCCCTCTCCACACCAAAAAAATATCTAAAACATGAAGGTCTTTGTAAGAAAGCACAGAATCTAAATTGTACATTGCTCCCCAGTCACAATTGTTGTGGTTCCAAATAAGAACTCCAAGCAGCTGTTAAGACCAGACTTGCATTGTCAAGAGAACCACCGTTGTCAGGTATTCTCAGCAAGCAAGAGAGCAGAGCGATCTTCTGAAAAATGCCATGTTTGTTTATGAATGGGGTTTGTGGCGCTTGTACAGTTTCTAAAAGCCATGGGATTAGTCTTCTGTTGAGAACTCCTTTGTTCTCTCACTCTGACCTGTGTGCTGAAGCCAGTGACAGCGCCCCCTACTGGCTGTGAGCTACCATGCAGTCCCCCCCCCAAAAAAAAATAAAAATGCATCTGTTTGGAGGACTGGAGGAGAAACTCCCTGCAGCGTTGATGTCGTTACTGCACTTCAGTTCGGCAGTGATTAAAGGGGTGGGGTGGTGAGGCGGTTTTCAAAAGCTGCGCGGTCTGCCTCCCAGTTGTGTTTACCCGGTGATGGTGTGGGTGTGGTTTTGGCAAGCTCGACAGTCGGCCCAGCTCCTGTTAGACCTGATCGTATCTCGTTGTAGAGAGCCGTGCCAGTGGCAGAACAAGGTGGAGCGCCGGCGCGGCGTTCTAGACATCGGTTAACGCTGGCCCTCCTCCAGATCGCTCAGATAGCGGCTGACTCATGTTGCTGCTAGCAGACAAGATCAAGGGCCGCATCCCCTCCCCCCGCCTCAGGTGCCTTCGCTGTGCTCTGAAATGCACTCCACCCTGGCAGCCGTCTCGGCGGCTGGCTGGTACGGTTTTGCGCGGTGGCAGAGCCCGTGAGCTCCCGATAGCTTTCGTGGTTTTGTCTTGTGATTCTTCTTGTGCACAGCAGCAGCGCCCGGCTGGGAGGTGCAGAAAAAGCCCCCAGCAGACCCTTGGTGCATGTGATTCAGGGCTATAGTAAACTAAGGCAGTCCTGAAAAAGCACAAAAAGGATGTCCACACCTTTGCAGCCAGAATGTTTTGATGGTAATAAAAGCATGCACTGTTATTCTTCTCTGTATTTTTCTTTAAAAAAGTATTATTCATAACCAAAATTGCATGCCCTGTCTTCTATTTATTCACTGTGGGCAAAGGCCTTTATCCAGGCCGACCTCTGCAGAGAGTAAGCTCTGTCCCTGACTGTGTGATCGCAGAGGATTTGCACTGCCTTTGTGGAGGAGACTTGTCTTGGGCTGGTCAGGAAAGCACAACACCAGGACTCATGTAGATGCAGTCAGTTAAGGACAAGTCACCTAGGTCTCGTTCAGGACAGGCTGTGCCCTTCTGGAGAGGCTCAATGAGTGAGAGCAGCCAAGCACCTGGACTCGTCAGGTCTGTGTTTTTGCTTGGATATAAAAGAAACGTGGGCATCACACAAGGCTTTTGAAGGCTACATCACAACTGACCGGTAATGCTCAGACTGGCAGTGATTGATGAGCTCGTTCTCGGCGCATGGCCGTTATGATGCTTTTCCACTGCGTTGTTTGTTTTGCATTACAGGCAGAGGGAGTGTTTTCTGCTGTCTCTTCTCCGAGCTCCAAACTTGTGTACTCTGAGAAACCACCGAAGTGTTTGGAAGTATTTCCTTTGAGCCCGAGTGAAAAATGAGACTTCGGAGTTGTTGTTTTTTTTGACTGCTTTGAAGAAACTCGAAAGTCACATTTTTCCTCGGAGAACAAGCAGAGACCCGATTCGTAGATTCCCCCTGTGTCTCAGATGATGGGCAGACCCGGAAGGACTGTGTTTGGTTTCCATGCTTTTGTAGGCTGTTGCAGGTTTGCCCTAGCATTGCAGGCAAAAAAAAAAACATGATAGTGATGCCAGATCTCGATAAAATCACTTTTCTCGCGCTGCAGGCCGATTCCTTCCTGATCCGCTCGACTGTGTCTTGCAGGTCCCCACAGCCGGGTGTCCAAGTGCCCTCCCAACGAGTACCAGTGCCTGGGCACGGAGCTGTGCATCCACCTCAGCAAGCTGTGCAACGGGGTCCACGACTGCTCCGACGGCTGGGACGAGGGGCCACACTGCCGAGGTAGGGCTGACGGGCGAGGGCGAGGGCGTGGCCATGGGTAGAGACAAGGGCAAGGGCTGTTTCCAGATACATGCCAGGTTTCTCCACCTGTGTGTGAGGAAAGAAATCGTTCTTGTTTGGCTTGATTCGGGCACAGCTGTTTTGATTGCCAGTTTTATTTTGTCAGTGCACTGGTGGGTTGGGGCACTGGTTTATCAGTGTAGTAGTGGACTGGGGCACTGGTGGATTGGGGCACTGGTTTGTCGGCGGACTGGTGGATTGGGGCACTGGTTTGTCGGGCACTGGTTCTTCGGCGCACTGGTGGATTGGGGCACTGGTTCGTTGGCGCACTGGTGGATTGGGGCACTGGTTCGCCGGTGCACTGGTTTGTTGTTGCACCGGTAGATTGGGGCACTGTTTTTTTGGATGTGGGTACAGGGTTAAATGGTCTGTTACAAAATTGTTACCTGTATTTTAATTTCCAGTGAGTGGATGGGGGATTAACTATTAGAGACAGTTCTGGGTGAAAAACCAGCTGAAAAAACCTGATCCTTTTGGTGTCTCAGGAGATTGTGAAGCTGTGAAACCTGCCAATTTGTGGAGGGCTTTCAGCCAAAGCACATTTTATTCATATCCCAGAAACAATTATCGGTTTACAGATCCCTTCTGATGTATTCATACCTGTGATGAAATAGGATAAAAAAACATAACAGAATGAGTTCCAGATTTAATGGTATATCTTTCCTAAAACAATTCTAAAAATGACTGTATTGTAAGTAGAATAGGCTTGCACAGAGTAAGGTTATGATTGATTAAATTTCAGCAAACAAGAGTCACATGTTTTCACGACTCTCTTTATTTCTGTGAATTAAATTGAACAGAAACTAACGTACTCTCTGGAACAATGTAGAGGCCTCAGAGGAGTTCCTGTTTCCCTGGGGTATAAAAGGAGGTGACACACAAGACGCGCATGTCATCATGGCTGAGGTCGAAGTACTCTCCAGAGACTGCATACAAATGATCACTGTCGTCCCCCAAAGCTGGTGTCCAGGGAATCTGCTCCTAGTTTCTGTTATGTTTTTGAGTTGCCTTCTCTGGCGTTTTGAACATCAAAATCGAATCTCGGTCAAGTTCTTTTGCATTGTAGGTTAAAAAGATGGAGTAATTTTTTTTAGTAAAAAAAAGAGTACCAAAGCAACTAGTACTTTGTGGCAGCGATCAGTCAGCAGTTTGATAAGGGGTGGTCTATATGCAGGCTTTCTCAGCAGAGTGAACCTAGCACTCTGTAGGGCAGGTGTTGAGTCCGTAGAACAGGGTTTTACAGGAGAGACTTCAATTGATTGGGCTGTCTTTATTTTCTGAAGTGTCTTACTAGGCAAGTGCAGCCCTAGAAGAGCTTACAGAGTGTATAAATCAGACCTCACCGGCAATCAATCAACCAGTCATATAAAGCACCCAAATTCCTGGGCTGTTGTAGTGCAACGCACCTTGCTGCTGACTTTTGCATAAAATGTTTCTGGACTTTTTTAGAAGGGGCTGAAATTGATTTTTGGTTTCTAGCCTTGTTTGGGAATCAAGGCGTTTTAAAGCAAAGCAGAACGGCGCTCTTGAGTTTAAAGAGCCAGGCAGGTAGTGGTAACATTAACCCCATCTTGTGCCGCGTGGGCGTGTGGGAGTGAGCCCTTGAGCCCCAAGGACGGCGGTCGGACCGTGTGGAAATGTTGCAGGCTCGTGTGCGTGGAGCGTGGCGGGCTGCACAGCTCTCAGAAGGTGTTTCCTGATGGGAATCCGAGTTTCCCGTGGAGCTCCTAGGCAGTCGGACTCGGATTTCCAGCGGCGACGCTTTCCTGTGAGCTGTCAGAGACTCCTTCAGGGTGGGGGGGGGGGGGGGGGTTGATTCACTGCCACTGACCGTGGCGCAGCCGATGGGGGTGTGCGTAAACCGCTCCACCCCGGCGTGTACGGACAGGTAGCGGGAGAGGAAATGGGGTGACTGCAGACAATGGGAGACGCAGGGGCAGACAGCCTGGCTCTTGAGCTTCACCTTTGGAAGCAGAGGTTGAAGGGAAATAGCTGCAGGCTAGTACTTCATTCCTGACTTGCAGTGAAGACGCTGTTCCGAGGAATGAATGACTCCTAGCCTGAGCACCCGAGGGCTGCAGGGAGCCTGATACTAAACTCCAC